TCGGGCTGTGTGCACCTGTATGCACCACGTGCTCTCTCCGCCTGTGTGCACCGTGCGCTCTCGGGCTGTGTGCACCTGTGTGCACCGCGCCCTCTCTCCACCTGTGTGCACTGTGCGCTCTCGGGCTGTGTGCACCTGTGTGCACTGCGTGCTCTCTCCGCCTGTGTGCACCGTGCGCTCTCGGGCTGTGTGCACCTGTGTGCACCGCGCCCTCTCTCCGCCTGTGTGCACCGTGCGCTCTCGGGCTGTGTGCACCTGTGTGCACTGCGTGCTCTCTCCGCCTGTGTGCACCGTGCGCTCTCGGGCTGTGTGCACTTGTGTGCACTGTGTGCTCTCTCCGCCTGTGTGCACCGTGCGCTCTCGGGCTGTGTGCACCATGCGCTCTCGGGCTGTGTGCACCTGTGTGCACTGCGTGCTCTCTCCGCCTGTGTGCACCGTGCGCTCTCGGGCTGTGTGCACCTGTGTGCACTGCGTGCTCTCTTCCAGGTGGGTCTGGAGCAATCAATGTGCCCTTATTCCAACTGCACTTTTTTTTTTTTGGCAAAGCTTTTTCTTTTCTTTTTTATCTTTATTGTTGAGAGTATTACAGTAAGATTGTACTTTTGACTTAAGTACACTGAGATATTTTACCCATCACTCTTTAAAGCTTCTACCCCGCCCACAAGCAGTGTCTGCTCGGAGCCTGCGTAGGGCCAGCAGAACCACCTTTCGGAGCAGCGTGACTGTCAGACAGCTCTGTGCAGGGCTGTCTGCGTCCACATGGTCGCAGTTCTCAGTGAGAAGGCCTTTGGGAAGTTGGGGTTTTGAAGCAAGGAGAAGGGAAATCAAACACAGTGAAATTTTAAGGAGACTCTGTGTCTTCCTGTGACCTCCATCCGGTGTCTGGAAGGGGCTGGGGTTGCCCCTTGACCTGTGCCAATAGTTGGTGGGTGCAGGCTCGTCTGGTCCTTCCCTCTGGGTGAGAGTCAGGGTGCTGGACACGCAGACACATTTTTCTAGACAGTGTCTGTAGTTTATTAGGACCGTAGTGTGATCTGCCTTTTCAGTTTATCTGCACAGCCTGCCTGTTTTAATTATAAAATTATAATGCTTGCCATTGGAGAGAAGGGACATACCACTCGAAATGAGTCACGTAGCTGACCTCAGATGAGTCAGAGCTGCCTCGTGGGGTGAGAACCTCCTACCGTTCTGGTTTTTGATCTTGATTTTTCCCGTCTGTTCTCTTATTTTCGTTGTCTCCCCCTGCCCGCTGCTCACATGCTCTTGTGCCAAACTCACGGGGGTCACAGCGCTTTGCCTGGCTTCGCTGGTGGCAGCCACTGGTTCCCACAGAAGTGAGGACGTGATGGGCGTCATGGGAAACGTCCCACCTGTAGCCCTGGGAGCACCTGCTCGTGTGTGCACCTGGGCGCCTGGGCCAGCTCAGGGCAGCAGGAGGGCGCCTGGCCCGTGCCCCCCTGCCCAGGCCTGTGCCCCGCCCCCGCCAGTGGAGTTCTTCTCAGGTGTGGGAGAGGCCTGCTGATGAGCCCAGGTAGCTGAGACCTGCAGCTCCCTTCCCAGGCCAGGTTTCTCTTCAGACTAGTGGCTCCCCAATGTCAGTGGTTTGTTAGAACCACCTGGAGAGCCTGTTAAAACAGATCTGGGGCGGGGCCTGAGGACTTGCGTTTCCAGCACGTTGCGCACCTGGCCGGCAGGGCTCGGGCTGTGGGCATGCAGGGCGGAAACACACCCTCTGGGAGAGCCACGCTGTTCTTTTTTCTGGCTTTTATTTATTTATTTTCCAATTTTTATTTTTGTTACAGATGTTTCTTTTCCCCCCTTAGACCCCCTCCTCCCCTTCCTGCCTCTGCACGCCCCAGCATTGTTGTCTGTGTCCATTGGTTATGCACACATGCATATAAGTTATTTGGTTCATCTCATCCCCCCCTCCTCCGAGGTCTGTCAGTCTGAACCGTGTCCTTTCTAGATCTCTGGGTCTGTTTCATTCATCGGCCCACCTTGTTCATTATAGTCCACAAATAAGTGAGATCACGTGTTACTTGTCTTTCTCTGATTGGCTTGTTCGCTTAACATCATACTCTCCAGGTCTCTCCATGTCGTCTCAAAGGATAAGAGATCTTTCTTTCTTACAGCTGCGTAGTACTCCATTGTGTACATGTACCACAGCTTTTTTATCCATTCGTCTACTGATGGACATTTGGGCTGTTTCCAGATCTTAGCTATTGTAAATAGTGCTGCAACGAACATGGGGGTGCATATATTCTTTCTGATTGGTGTTTCAGGCTTCTTAGGGTGTATTCCTAGAAGTGGGATCTCTGGGTCAAATGGCAGATCAATTTTTAATTTTTTGAGGAAACACCATACTGTTTTCCATAGTGGCTACACCAGTCCTGCATTCCCACCAGCAGTGTACTAGGGTCCCCTTTTCTCCACACCCTCGCCAGCACTTGTTGTTTATGATTTGTTGATGGTGGCCATTCTGACAGGTGTGAGGTGATACCTCACTGTTGTTTTAATTTGCATCTCTCTGATGATTAGTGATGTTGAGCATTTCTTCATATGTCTCTTGGCCATTTGTATGTCCTGTTTGGAGAGGTGTCTGTTTAGTTCCTCTGCCCATTTTTAAATTCGGTTCTTTGTCTTCCTTTTGTGGAGTTGTATGAGCACTTTATATATGTTATTGGAAATTAAGCCCTTATCTGATATATCATTGGCAATGATGTTCTCCCATACAGTGGGTAGCCTTTCCAATGTGATGGTTGTTTCTTTTGCTGTGCAGCTTTTGAGTTTGATGTAGTCCCATGTGTTTTTCTCCTTTGTTTCTGTTGCCTTAGGTGACGTATCAGTGAAAATTCTGCTCCGTATGATGTCCGAAATTTTGTTGCCTCCATTTTCTTCTAGGATTTTTATGGATTCAAGAATCACGTTTAGCCCTGGCCAGTTTGGCTCAGCGGTTAGAGCGTCGGCCTGCGGTCCTGAGAGACCCGGGTTCGGTTCCCGCTAAGGGCATGTGCCTTGGTTGCAGTTTGTCCCCGGCCCTGGTTGGCCGTGCGGGTGGCAGCCACTCGGTGTGTCCCTTTCACATCGATGTTTCTCTCTGTCTCTCTGTTCCTCTCTCTCCCTCCCACTCTACCTGAACAAAAAATGGAAAAATGTCCTCGGGTGAGGATAAAAAAAAAAAAAAAAATCACGTTTAATTCTTTTATTCATTTTGAGTTTATTCTTGTGTATGGTTTCTGGCTTTTATTTAAATGCAGTGGTTGAAGTGTACACTCTGCTCCTGATGAGTTCCGGGTGGCTACCTCTGGCTGAATGACTCAGGTGCTCAGTGCAGTTATTTGTATTTGGATTGCGGCGGCTTTGTATGGTTTAGACGCTTAACGGCAGTATTTTTGGTTGAATGTAAGAAATAGTTTTTCTTTTTTATTAATTCCTGGTTGGTTCTTCCAGTGTTTAAAATAATTTTTTAAAATTACAGTTAACCCCTTTTTTAATGCAACGGCACGCAGGTAAATAACCTGGCCGGAGGGCGTGTCTCGAACAGTGGAAACCCGCTTCCGCCAGACTGAGCGGCTGCACGGGGAGAGCTGGGTTCTCCGCGGGCGGTCACGGGGGCGGTCACGGGTGCTGCGCCTCCCCGAGGGCGCGGCCGGCAGGGCTCGGCCCTGAGCTGTCCGTCCCCAGGACATCCCGGGAGGGTGCGGGAGGCTGTCGCAGCCCCTCGGGACGCAGTTCCAGGTGCATCTGAAACGACGGGACCTCGCCCGCAGCTCTCCCGCATCCTGTCCGAGCGTCCGTGCCGGCGCCCGCTGCCGCTGCGGCCGCTTGCCGACCCCTCCGCACCGCCGCCCGTCCCGTGTCACACTCCGCGGCGAGAGCGTCGCAGGGAGGCCTGCTCGGCACCCGTCGCCGGGCCTCGCCGCGGGTTTCTGGTGCCGGCTGGCGTGGCCCGACCGGCCTCCGCGCCCCAGGTGCTGCTGCGGGGAGCGGCGAGCGGGGACCCGAACCCCCGCGGCCCGCACACGCGGCTTCATGCTCGCTGCAGGGGGGGCCTGTGGGTGGCGGTCACGCGTGCTGTGGGGAGCAGCGCCGGTGTCCCCCGAACTCAGAGGGCCACGGTCCTGCCTGTGGGGTCCGGTGGGACATGTCTCTGGAACATGGCACCTTCTTAGCCCCATTGGATGTCCTTCCCGAGCCCGTTAACCGCGTGTCCTTCCGTTCTTCTGTTTTACGTGAAATGGGAAGTTGTGTAGTTTCATGTGGTCACTGAAGGATGCTCCAGATGCGTCCCAGCACGATGGCTTGTCGGTCCCCTGGGACCGCAGCGTCCCGGAGAAGGGGCGGCCCTCCCCTGGGGCCCCGCGGAGTCGCGGCGGCGCCTTGTGCCCCCGTTTCTCTGGGGCGGCCGAGCGAGTGTCCACGCTGATGGAGCCGGGCCAGAGGCCAGCTCGGCTGGTCAGGACTCCCTGCAGGCAGCAGCAGGTTGTCCAGGCCCCGGAGCCTCCGCGGCTCCCCTGCAGTGACGCTGGCCGTGGGCCGGGACCGCGCCCGCCCGCCCGCCCTCGCCCGGCTGCCCGGTTCCGAAGGGGAGGCTGTGGGCCGGGACCCGCACTCTGCGCCCGCCCGGTTCCGAAGGGGAGGCCGTGGGCCGGGACCCGCACTCTGTGCCCGCCCGGTTCCGAAGGGGAGGCCGTGGGCCGGGACCCGCACTCTGCGCCCGCCCGGTTCCGAAGGGGAGGCCGTGGGCCGGGACCCGCACTCTGTGCCCGCCCGGTTCCGAAGGGGAGGCCGTGGGCCGGGACCGCGCCCGGCCGGCTGCCCGGTTCCGAAGGGGAGGCCGTGGGCCGGGACCCGCACTCTGCGCCCGCCCGGTTCCGAAGGGGAGGCCGTGGGCCGGGACCCGCACTCTGCGCCCGCCCGGTTCCGAAGGGGAGGCGGCGCACGTGGGGGACATGGCCCCGACTGCGCGGCCGGGGAATGACCGTGTCTCTCTCTTCCAGGCTGTCCTTCTACTCGGGCCACTCCTCGTTCTCCATGTACTGCATGCTCTTCGTGGCGGTGAGTCCGCGCGCGGCTCCCTGCCCGTCCAGGTCCAGGTCTCGCGAGAGCAACTGGTTAACTTCGTCCTCTTAGAAGCGGTTTCTCTCTGTCCCTCTGTACAGGGTCAGGTTTGGTGAGGGGGAGCCTCTATGTGGGCGAGCGGTGCCTGCCTCGGCTCTGATGCAGCTGTGCCTGTGGGAGGTGCGGGTCCCCCCCGCGCAGCGGTGAGGCAGGGAGGTGCCCCCCCCCCCGCAGCGGTGAGGCAGGGAGGTGCCCCCCCCCCGCAGCGGTGAGGCAGGGAGGTGCCCCCCCCCCCCAGCAGTGAGGCACAGTGCTCAGAGGGGCCCCGGCTGGAACAGTGCTGCCGCTGCCGGGGCTCATTTGGCCTCATTTGCAGAGCATCTAAAGTCAGTTTTACCAGAAACTTGCTTTTATTTGAAAAACCAAATTCCAAAAGTTAAAAGAGCATAAAAATTGCAGATGTGTTACATAAAGTTCAAACCCACAACGTTGAAACCATTACAACAGAGCTCCGTTTTGGCTGCTGCACCATTTCTGGAAACTGCGAGGTTTTCATCTCCGGGGTTTAATTTTGGGAGGAAGCGACAGGCCCAGCGGGCAGGACCAAGCGTCCCCTCCGCAGTCACGCAGACGGCACCCTGACGTCCCGCGTCCTGTTCGTGCGGGAGAAATGGGCACCCTCCCCAGGGGGTCCCCGGCGCACACGTGTGACTGCCCGGCGGCCCCATGTGCAGGAGCCGTCCCCCATGCACCCTGCCCCGGAGCGTGGACGTCTGCTCTCCGCTCCCTTTCGTACTCGGTCCAGCGGGAGCCTGTCCGGACGCTGCGGTGGCACGAAGTATGGAGGGCCTCCGGCAGCCCCGAATGCGTGGCCCTGGCGCTTTCTTTCCGAGGGCGCCCCTGGGCTGGGGCAGGGCCGGCAGGTTTCAGTGAAAGGTCAGACCGTATTGAGGCTGTTAGGCCATGCACAGTAGCTTAGTCGCATATTCTTTTTAAAAAGTGACCCTTTAAAAATGTGAAATCCATCTTTAGCTGGCAGCTGACTCCTTGATGCTAGCCAATGGGGAGAAAACACAAAACCCTGTTTTGAGGACAGGTTGAGAGACCGAGGCAGCAGCGTCCTGCAGTTGCTGTAAGGTCAGGGAAGGGCAGGGTGGGTGGTGTGTTTTGAAAAGCACCTCGTGCAGCCCGACTGTGAAGGTGAGACAGCAGACCCTTGATGGAAGCTGAATGTTCAGACATCGAATTTCCTTTTTAGAAGAATGTAGTTACTTCTACCCAGAGGGAAAGTGCACACCTTGCGTTCCCCGTGCCCTGGTGCCCAGGGTCCTCCCCGCTGGTTTGAGCAGCTGCTCTGCACCCCACGAAGCTGTTCTGGGCTCTCCCTAGACCCCGTGCAGTCTGTGAGGCGGCGCTGGGCTGGGGGGTGCTGCCTGCAGGGCGGGCTTCTTCCTGCCGCCTCTGGGCCTGTCTGCTGGTGCTGAGCAAGCCCCTCCTCAGCCCTTACAAGCCTTAAGGAGAAGAAAGTGCCTTTATGACTCTCTAGTCTTACCCCAGTTAAAAAGCTTATTTATTTTTTTAAAAAGGTCAGATGCTATTGAGAATAGACCCCTCTGCTGGGCAAGGACTGAACTACAGCCTGTGCTGCTCAGTTAGGCAGATTATCATATGTATAAACACACGGTTTCGGTTGCCCTGGTTGTGTTTCGAGGCTAGAGGTGCTCTCCTGCATGTAAACTGAGTGCATTAAGCAGACTTGGTCCCTAGACAGCCTGGGCAGGAAGCAGGGCCTGGCCTGGCCGAGTTTATCCCAAGACAGGAGCTATGGCCAGCAGCACTGAATTCGCATGAGAATCCTGACCCAGACTGCGGGGGCAGCTGCCGGGAGCCCCGCATGGAGGAGACCTCCTGCCTTGTTTAGAATCTGAAAGGCGGTCTACCCGGGCAGGTGATAAATTCTTCCAAACTGGGGCAACAATTCGTTTTGTTTTGCTTGAAAGGATTAACGTCTGGTGCTTGGGTGAGGACACAGAATGCTTGCCTGAAGCTGGTCCATACATAACAGATACTATCATTGATGACTACTACTATTTAATGACTTCACCATTTTAAACGCCAGCCCTTTGGAGGCGTGGTGATGCTTAACATAAACTAGTTTCCGGCTGGCATGCTCACTCCTCTCCTCTGTTAGCTCTACCTTCAGGCCAGGATGAAGGCAGACTGGGCGAGACTCCTGCGGCCCACGCTGCAGTTTGGCCTCGTGGCCGTGTCCATCTATGTGGGCCTTTCTCGCGTCTCCGATTACAAACACCACTGGAGCGACGTGCTGACGGGACTGGCGCAGGGAGCCCTGGTTGCAGTGCTAGTGGTGAGTGCGCAGGCCCGGCCGCCCTGGGGCGGGCGGACACGGGGAAGGAAGGAGAACCGACTCTGAGGTCCCTGCAGAGAACCGGGTGGCCCATCGTGGGCTCCAGGTCAGAACCAGTGCTGCTGAAAGTCACGTCAGGTGGCCAGCAGGTGAACACCAGGTCTTCACGAAGCGACCACACTGCGCATCTTCATTGTACAGGGCTCTGACTACAAACTTCTTTCTGGTAATGAAGTAGGAAAAACCCAGAAACGAATTTACATGAAGAGTAACTCTTTAAATGCCAACAGAGTGAAGCTACTGCCCAAGACATAAAAAGCAACTCTGTTGGGAAGAATCCCTTGAACAAAACTTCCTGTCAGCACTAGTTCCTGGGCCCTTAGTCTGGCCCCAGTGATACAGGTCCTTGTTTATTTCTGCAGACTGCATTCTGTAACTTTGTGTATGACTTTGAAACTTACTGAAAGTATACTCTGTTCCCTATAGGTTGTGTATGTATCAGATTTCTTCAAGGAGAAACATTGTTTTAAAGAAAGAAAGGAGGAGGATTCCCACACGACTCTGCATGAAACACCCGCAGCCGAGAACCACTTGCGGAACAGTCACCAGCCCTGAAGGGGCCCCGGGCCCAGTGGAGCCGGCTGCTCCCGAGGGAGAACAAGCGATGCCATGTGGCCCTGCACGAGCCCGGAAGGACTGCGGCTGCACCTTGGACGCTCACTTGACCTGTGTGTATATAGTTACTCAACACAGCAGCTGTCTAATAGCTCAAAGTTCATGAAAAAATTCCAAGCCTTTCACTAAAGCAATGCCTCACTTGTACTTTTCTATTAAAGACGGATGCTCATGTACACTGTGCACGTGCCGATGCGAATGCGACACATAAAGGGCTGAACAGCTGCTGTGACACGGGCGGGCCGGCTGACACTGAGCGCGTGCAGCCAGCTGGGGGGGGGTCGCGCCTCCGCTCACTACAGATACAGGCTGGCAGCGAACACGATGTCTCTCTTGATTTTGGTGATTCCTAAGAAAAAAGAAAATAGGGCTCAGTTTAAATTCTCAAGACCCCAAAGAATGGGAACTCCCCTCTCCTGCGGGTTCAGAGGCAGCTGCCCGGACCACACACAGCCTTGCCAGTCTGACCACCACCTGGAGCTCCCAGCCATCTGAGTGGTGGGAATCGGGAACCAGACCCCTGGCCCCAATGCACCCCAGTGTGTGTGTGTCTAAAAATATTTTAAAAGACCTATTTGGGGAAGGACTAGAAGTTAGATAACCCAAAAACATGAATTTTCAACCTGAAGACACTACATTTTCAATTACTATGTGAAATTCATTTTGGACTAAGGCAGAACAGTGGTAAGTTTTTTATTCACACAGTCCATAGATCTAGACTTGAACCCGAGTGATAGGTATGCCTCTCGGGAGCACAACACAAGCCAGTGTCTGCAGAAATCACGGGGGTCACTGATGTCTGGGCTCGGGTGCACCTGCGGGCCAGTACCCGGATGGCATGAATCCAGCCACCAGCCTGTTCTCCTGTCGCCACCACCTGCGTCTAGCTGTCCCGTCCCAGTCTGGACGCCCCGCTCCCTCCCACCTTCCACTCTGCAGACTGGCCCGTAAAACCTGCCAGCACGACACTCCCAACACAGAAACCTGCACATCTCAGAGGAAAAGCCGAGGGCTGGGGCCCAAAGACATCCCTCCATCCCCGGCTTCTTACTTCCTCAGCTCCCACACACGGGCCTCTTGCTGGCACTCAGCGTACCCAACACATGTGAAGGCCCAAAGGCTGCCTGAGCCCCTGGGTGCCAGGACCGTCCCATCCTTCCCCTACCCGTCCTGCCTCTCCTTTGGTCTTTCTGTGGTGGACTGCCCGCCTGCCCACCACACTGGCTCGCGAGCCCCATGGGCAGGGCCTGGCTCCCTGGATCTGCTGCATCAGGTGCGGCACAGCGCCTGGCACACAGGCGGTGCACAGTGAGCTCTTGTAAATGCAGATCAATTTAAAACTCCCCAACACTGGAATTTCACACCGCTAGAGGGCACTCCGTGGCCATCTGAGCGAGCTGTGGAGATGGCCTGCCCTGTTGAGCGAGGCCTGCACTGGACACTGACCTTCGGCGAACTTGTTCTCCAGCTCGGTGTTCCCGATGGCTTTTGCCGCCTGGCACATCTGTCGGAGCAGCTCCTCCAGGCGTCTCATGCAGCGGATGATGCTGCCTGCACAGAAGGACGCAGCTTGTGAGGCGGGGACAGGCGGGACTTTTGTGAAGAGGCAGGCAGGAGGGCAAGGGACACCCCGAGAGCAGGTGGCAGCTGCACCCCTGCCTGCGAGGCGCACGGGAAGTGTCATTCCCCTCCTCGCTGGCGACAGGCGGGGCTCACACACCTGCTCCTACAGAGGCAAGCGAGCAGCAGCCCCGGAGCAGAACAACACATGCAGGCCAGAGGAGACCATGTATGACCTGGGCCTGTGAGGACCAGAGGCTGTTGGCACCAGGGGCAAGGACCCACAGAAAGGCCTGACCCAACTGTAGCAGTCAGGACGGGGGGGGGGGGGGTGCGCACTAAGGCCCCTGGACACCAGGCTGTCAGAAGGCAACAGGTTTGCGAGCAGGGAGAGCAGCGCCCAGGGTCGTGGGAAAGGTGTGCGTGCCCATCCTGGACTTCTGCACACAGCGCGTCCTCGAGGAAGAGACCAGCCTCTTCCCTGGAGACGGTGTCACTGTCTGATGGCAGCAAGGGGCCGGGCTCTGTTCTCTCTGAGCTCCCGGCCTGAACTGCAGCCTCTTGGGGGGCCAGGGGTACCGACACGGCCAGCTGTGAACTCACGCCGGAACTGGAGCAGCTCTCTGACACTTGGCAGGTTCCTGTGATACACCTACTGCAGTGTGAGGGAAGGAACGCCCTGCACGTCACGTGCAGTGTGCTCAAGGGGAAGGTCAGAGAGAGGTAACTCCTCGAGCCGAATGGAGCCGGAGCTGAGACAGGCAGGCACAGCGCCCCCAGAAGGAGCACAAAGCATCAGGAGTGTGGTGCAGGCTCCTCCCTGCGCGTCCCGGGGCCTCCTCCCCCTGCAGCGCATCCCGGGGCCTCCTCCCCCTGCAGCACGTCCCGGGGCCCCGGCAACGAGACACAAAGAAGCCATTTCGAGATGAGACTGGTCACAAAGAAGACAACCTGCATGAGGTCATCTTGAAAGACAAATGGGGTAACAGCCCCTGAGAAGGACAATACCACCTCTTAGGAATAGATGTTCACCTACGTCAGACTTGGTTCAAAGGAATGAGTGGAGGCAGCAGAAGAGGAAAGAGACAGAGATCTGGGTTCTGCGACCCAGGCCCTTCCTCGGCCCACTGTTTCCTGTTCCCCTTGTACAGGGAAGCATTGCAATACATGCAGTGGACACAGAGGACTGGCGCCTAACTCAGGAGCCGGCTCTTTTTGCCCTTCCTCCTCTTCCACTGAAAGGTCCACGGGGTCTTGGAAAACCTCCAGCCTCACGTGCAGCCCGTCTCTGCTACACGACTCCCTCAATTATTCGGCTTCACGCACACAAAGCGACCAGATGTCAATGCAGAAATGGCCGCTGGAGCAGACACACATGACATACAGTCCGACCAACCAACCACAGGGCCGAGCGTGGCACCTCCCCCCACTGTGTGTGCCTCACTCTGACCCTGAGGTTTCTGTGTCATGGGAGAGTGAGTCACCCACTGACTGCAGTGACATGCAGGCATCAAGGAAAGGCCCGTGTTTTGAGAAAAAAAGAGTGATGTCCAACATTTTCTGAGCATTTATTCTGCGGCAGGTCTGCAATCTGTATTTTAGGGAGATTCTCTTGTCTGACCTTCACTACTCGAGACAACCACTGTGAGGACCTTAGCTCACAAAGAGGGAAAGAGAAACGGAAGTTACGCATAACTCGAGCCTGGTAGAGCAGGGCCGAGCCCAGACAGTGACGCCCCCAGCCCGAGCATCTACTATATGTGCCTCACCAAACGACCCACAGCGCCTGCATCTTCTACAGTAACTGTGTATTTTATAAATGCCCATTTATGATGAAATTCAGTTACACATTTAAAAGGGTTAAGAAAGTCCGGGCAGGGTGATGGGATGGCGCGTCGTCCATGGACTGAGAGGTCCCGGTTTGACTCCAGGTCAGGGCACATGCTTGGGTGGCGGGCCTGATCCCCAGGAGGGGGCGTGCAGGAGGCGGCAGGTCGATCTCTCTCTCACATAATTGTTTCTCTCATTCTCCCCCTAAAAAATCAATAAAAACAAAAATAAAATAATTAAGGAAAAAAGTATTTTAGGAGATTTTTAGGTTTATACGCACTCACTTCTGTAGAGATGGTTGTTGCCAGACAATGCCCGAGAACTTATATTGGGTTTCAAGATGTAGGAAGTAGTAGAAACTGGCAAGGAGGTCCCAGCAGATACAGGCCTGTTTTCTAACTACGCACTCACACAGCCCCTGGCAACGTGTGCTCATTTCACAAGCAGGGAGTGAGACTGCGCAGATGGAGGAGGAAAGGGGGGCACACTGAGGACACCCTTCTCCCGGGCTCCACAAGCACCCTCCTCCTTGCAATACGGCGGAAGAGGCAGAAGCTATTCCCTTCCCCATGGTGTAGCCAAAGGAACCCAGGCAGCTGAGCAGGCAGATCCGGTGAGCGGGCAGGATCTGCCGGCTCTGAGCTCCTGCTCTCTCTCGCCCGCGGCACCAGAGCTGGGAGAGCACGGATGGGACAAAAGCACACGGACGTGCTGAGGTGGCAGCGGGAAGGACGTGATTCGGGACCGAGGGGCACGCAGAAAATTCAGAAAGAAAGGCCCCGGGACCCAGACGGCAGGCCCTTCCTTGGAAGAGGGAGGGAGGAGAAGGACCTGTTGCCAGGTGAGAAGCAGGAGTGGTCACAGACTGCGGGCAGAGCTGAGGGAGAGCGGTGGGGACAAACTCCTCCGAGGTCCAGAGGACGAACGTCCTCCCGTGACAGACTACACTAATGAAAAGCAAAGGGTCCTTGGAGAAGATTTCTGATCTACATAGAAGATTCTATTTTAGTACGAAAAATCAATGTTTAGTTCAAACAATGTCACCCTGGCTGCTAGTCATGCAGGTCAGACCCCCCCCCCCCCCCGAGAGAACAAACAAGGGGACAGGAGAAGAGCCCTTAGGCATGAAGTCCCAGGACACAGAGGCTCTGAGCACGGCGCACACACCCAGGCCCCAGCTGTTTCAGCTCCAGGCTCAGAAAAGCAGCAAACCACACAGGTGAAGGTACTGGTGACCTCAGGCCCAGCTGCACTGATCAGGGACCCCTGCCCTGGTGCCAACCAATCAGCAGGGACCAGACCCTGAAAGGAGACACCTGGAAGGCTGATGATTGTGCCATCAAGACCCTCCCGAGACCTTCCTTAACCACCCCCCCCCAAGCCTTCAGGACAGAGACCCGGGCGCTCTCCCTCCAGGGAGCACACAGGGCCCCCCTTCCCCAGGCCGGCACCTGTTCCTCTCTCCTGGGCTCCCAGGGCCCGCTTCGCCTCCAGCGTGTTTCCTGAGCCGTTTCTCCTGCTGCTCACTTCCACCTCTGTGCCTCTCTAAGTACACTTTCTCTCAGTAAGACAAACCCGAAGTGTCCCCCAAGCACACGCGTATCCTCCATCAGAAAGTGCGTGCACACACGACCTGGACGTACCCTCGAAGACGTCGGTCATCTTGCAGATGTGGGCGAACGTGGCCCCGGTGGCCCAGGTGTGCACCACATCCATCAAGTGAGGCTTGAACGAGCTCAGGTAGGTTTCCTCATCAATCTCCAACTTGGCTTCTGCTGAGACTTTT